GCCGCGCCAGCTGTGGTTTTCCGGGCCCGGGCTCATGTCGGGCGTGCCCTCAGGGAGGAAGCACCACCCAGCCTGGACAAGGGGCGTTTACGAAACGGCCCTGGGCGTTTACTAATCAGGCTTGCCATGTTTGATTCCTTCTTTGGGTGCGTTTGCTAAACGGCTTCGCGTGTCGGGGTGGTCATTATCGGGGTGGATTCTCTGCCCTCTATTCGGGGCCGTCTGGTGGGTCCTGGGGTCACTGGACGGGTCCTGGGCCGTCTCGGGTTTTTTTGTGCAGTTCTCCGACCTCTGTGCCATTTGTTTCACTGTCTCAGCAGGGGCTTGCAGGTTAGCGATGGCTCTGTGGGGGTTATCCGCGTTCCCAGGTTCTGTCTTGAGGCAAGCAGGCGACCTGGCCTAATCAAAGTTGTAGCGCGCGGTCTTACATGAGGCTGGGACATGCGGCTGCGATTGCTTCTTTGTGGCGATTGCTCATCTGCCAGGTTTATCGTGTGTGGATGTTTGTTGTGGTTCCGACTTGCCGCGTTGTTGCGTCGCGAACAGTGAGATGGAGTCGCGGTGCAGGCGTGGTGAAGTGTCGGTGCCGCGGTGTTGTCTTGTGATAGTGTTGGGGAGGTGTGGACGTGCAATGGTGTGGTGGTGCCGTGGTTGAGCCGTGGCAGGGTGTTGGAAGCAGCAGTGTGTACGTGGCACGTGGCGTACTTCTGCTGGACATACACTATGTTTCAACATTGCATACACTTGAGGTTCACTTTTGCAGCACAAATGGGCACGCAAGGCACGAACGAGTAATTCTCGAAAACGCATGCGGCGAATTACTGCCTCCTGCCTTTTGGAATCGCCCACGTTGCCGACCATTGTGGCAAGAGCTCTGCCAAGCTATCGGACTGAGTGTTCCCCCAGCCGTTGTGGCAACCCTTCGGGGAACGCTTGGGAGAGGATGGCTGGGAAGATCAGCAGGAACATATTGGGGGCCTCGTTGGGCCTCTTGGGGGCTTTGGGGGGCTTCTCGGGGTCCTCTTTGCCCGTCTTAGGGCGTTCGTGGCCCGACGGACGCCGTCGGAAGCCCTCTTGGGGCCCTCTTGGTTTGCTCCAGGGCCGTCTTGGAGGCCATCTTGAGGGCTTTGGAGGCCTCTTGGGCCCTCTTGGGGGCCTCTTGGGGCCGTCTCAGGGGCCTCTTGGGCGGTTATTGGGTCATCTTGAAGGCCTCTTGGGCGATCTTGGGGCGATCTCGGGGGCTTTTGAGGCCGTCTTGGACCGTCCGAAGGCCGAACAAACGTAAATACCACAACTCCTTGAACAACCAGGGGCAATCAATGATTTTGGCCTCTTCGGGCCTTCCTGGGTGACCTCGTGGAGGCCTATTGGGCCCTCTGGCGTCATCCTGAGGCCTATGCCGTCTTGGAAGCTTATTGGGCAAATTTGGAGGCATCTTGGACGCTCTTGGGCCGTCGTGGACGCCATCTTGGACCATCTTGGGCAAACTTGATGGCCATCTCGGTCGTCTTGGAGGCCGACTTCAACCATTTTGGAGCCATCTGGAGCTAGAAAAACGTCGGCATCCACCTCTGGGCAAGCCTCCCGGGTGGCCCGCGCGCTGGGCCGAAGCCCCAGGCAGAGGTCTTTTGGAAAGACCCAACACCAAAACCGCTTAGGTCTAGCTCGCCAAGCACCATCTGTGACAAGCCAACAGGAGGCGGCAGATGACGGAGAGCGCGCGTTAGCGTGCGGTCCGTTAGTCAGAAGAAATTGGACTTGGGGGAGTTCGAGGGGGGTGGCATCGCCGGACCCGGATGACGGAGAGCGCGCGTTAGCGTGCGGTCCGTTAGTCGGAAGAAATTGGACTTGGGGGAGTTCGAGGGGGGTGGCATCGCCGGACCCGGATCTAATTGCCTTCCCGCTTCGTTTTTTTCGAGTAGGACAGCCTTCGGGGCTTAAAAACAGCGTTTCGCTTGAGACATCATCGGGAAATGCTTCTTGGGCGCTTCCTGGGCCGTCTTAGGCGCCTAAGACAGCCCAAAAAGCGGCCAAGACGGCACCCAAGACGGCCCACGAAGCGCCCTAGACGGCCCAAGAGCACTCCAAGAGAGCCCAAGACCGCCCAAGGCGGCCCCAAGACGTCCCAAGAGGCCTCCACGACGCCCCAGGAGGCGCCCACGAGGCGTCCCAAGAGGGCCCCACGAGGCCAAAATCATTGATTTTCTGTAGGAAAACGTTCATTTTTAGCATATACGGCTTTTCGCCTTTCATGGCGTTGAAGACGGTCCAAGAGGCCCCCAAGACCGCCCCAAGACGGCCCAAGATGTTCCCAAGAGGCCCCCAAAATAGCCCAAGAGGGCGCCAAGACGGGCCAAGAGGCTCCCAAGCCTGTCCAAGAGGCCCCCAAGAGAGCCCCAAGAAGGCCCAAGAGGCTTCCAAGAGGGCCCCACAACGGCCCAAGAGGGCGCCAAGACGGCCCAAGAGGCGCCAAGACGGCCCAAGACTGCCGTCCCAAAAAGGCCCCAAAAGGCCCCCAAGAGAGCCCAAAGACGGCCAACATTGCCCTCCCGCTTTGTTTTTTTAATCGAGTAGTAGGACGGCCTTCGGGGCTTAAAAACAGCGTTTCGCCTGAGACATCGTCGGAGAACGCTTCTTGGGCGCTTCTTGGGCCGTCTTAGGCGCCTAAGACAGCCCAGGAAGCGGCCAAGACGGCGCCCAAGACGGCCCAAGACTGCCCAAGAAGCGCCCAAGACGGCCCAAGACAAGAGCGCCCCAAGAGAGCCTAAGACCGCCCCAAACGGCCCCAAGACGTCCCAAGAGGCCTCCACGACGCCCCAGGAGGCGCCCACGAGGCGTCCCTAGAGGGCCCCACGAGGCCAAATAGCCCAAGAGGGCGCCAAGACGGGCCAAGAGGCGTCCAAGACCGTCCAAGAGGCCCCTCCGTAGCCAGTTTGGCTCAAGCCATTTTGGCTCAAGCCAGTGGAGTGAACATGGAATTTAGCTCAAATATATGACTCCTGTTCGCTCATGGGTGTGTGCTTTGTTTGTTACACCCTGCAGCGGCTTCAATATTGGAGTATCGTACGTGTGGTTCTCAATTTGTGCGTCGGTCAGACATTGGGGACGATTGAGAATGGGTTACAAAAAAGACAATAATTGTACTTCACGTGGGTCCTCCCAAGACAGGTTCCTCAACAGTTCAAATTGAGTTATATAAGCATCCGTCTTCGTTGCGTCTCGACGGCTGGACGTTTGTCAGCGCATCGCAGTTCGGCACATCCAGATTTGTCTTTCAGATCAGAAACGTTGCGGCGTGCTACCGGAATATAGGGACAGGCGAAAAGGCACATGATCGTGATTATTCAGAAATGTCTTGTACGAAGTGGCATGAGCTTCTTGCGCTGCTAACAGTACAACCGAACGAACGTCTAGTGATGTCAAGTGAATTGTTCGGCCATGTAGATGGCGACGACATGTCGCAGCTCGCATCCGACTTAGCCCCGTTCACGACGAGAATCGTCATGGTCTACCGGCCCTTTTACGATTGGGTTGCAAGCGTGTATCGACAGATAGGTCATGGGACATCTTTCGAGGCGTGGTTGACCGATGAAAGAATGGAATATCAAGTAAAAGGCTTCACGACGAGTGTCTACCAACGATACGCGTCCGTTTTTGCTGACGTAAAGGTTTACACATTGGGGCCCTCGTTAATGGCAGATATTGCTTGCGATGACCTTGAGGCTAGGACTACTTGTGCTTATTTCCAAAGATCAGCCCTAAAACCATACAGTGTAAAATCCGCAACGAGCGGGCGAGAATGTCCCTGCGCTTACCAGGTGCAAAAGTTGCAAAACATCTCATTCGAGTTGCACATGGAGGCATTTGTTTTTTTCAAGTTTCCCGAATTCTGATTTCGATACCAAGGCATCAACATGCTTCGGCAATGAGTAACTGTAGCTTCGATGGCAGCGGCCTTCTATGGAATCCTCACCATGATTTCTGCGATTCCCCTGAGGCTAGTCATAATTTCACCATGACTCGAGGCTGCAGTTTTCCGTCAGAGCACAGTCGCGTCGTGCGTTCCACTAAAGAAGATGCACGAATGATACATTATGTGCGACGCTGCGGGCGATGGCAGGCGACGCCGTGGCAACAGGCATCGGCAGCAGAGGGCGCGCGCTGGCATTGCGCAGAAGAGGCCCCCGAGAGCGCCCCAAGAAGGCCCAAGAGGCCCCCAAGAAGGCCCCAAAACTGCCCAAGAGGGCGCCAAGACGGCCCAAGAGGCTCCAAGACGGCCCAAGACGGCGCCAGGAAGGCCCCAAGAAGGCCCCAAAAGGCCCCCAAGAGAGCCCAAAGATGGCCAAAGGCAGCCTAGTCCCTTACCCCCGCTTCCCAGAAGCTCCCAGGAAGCCCCAAGAGGCCCCCGAAAAGCCCCAAAAGGTCCCCGAGAGGCGCCCAAGAGGCTCCCCAAGAGCCCCCCAAGAGGCCCAAAATACTGCCAAAGGCTCTTAGCACCGCGGCTCCCAAGAGCAAGCGGTGACGTAATCGAGCTGATAAGACCAAAGCTCCCAACAGAGAGCTGCGGCGTAATAAGTTCTTGACGCCAGGGCACAGGGACGGGCGGCAACGCGTGGACAAAGAGCGCGTGGACAACGAGCGGTCCACGCAAAGAAGACGCGAGGTTTTGGAAAGCTGGCAGCTCAAACGCGGAAAACGCAACGCGACCCGACCGCCCCCTCCAAAACAAGAAACGCGTTCAAAGAAAGGTCCGCCGCTCTCCGAGGCTGAGATAGGACAAGAGCGAGGGGAAGGGAGTCAATAAGAGGTGTAAGAGCGGACGAGCCAGCGATCTCGCGCGCTCTGACAGAAAGTGCGCTTTCCGTCCCCGTGCCAAGCAGGTCTGAAGGCCTCCGGCCCAACCCGGCACCGTGCCTGGGTTCTGGGTCAGAGACCTCAGGGGTGTTTCTTAGGGCTTCTTCGGAACGCTCTCGGGAGCCTCTGGGGGTCCGTTTTGGGGC